TCAAGTCACAGACTAGGTCAAGACAGAAATTGAACCTGGCAACATGGCCCCAGAGGCCACTCTATTGATCACTACGTGACACTGTGCAGGCTTTGGAGTCAGAATTCAAACTCAAATGACTAATGAGTACAGATTACAAATCCATTAGTAACCCGAGAGAGATTCCAACCGAAACAAGATTTTTCCTCACACCCACCAGCAATTTGAAAGTTGAACAAGTCCAAAGGTGGGTGGGGAATTGAGGAAGTAGAAACTCTCATGTAACTATGGATGGGAGTGAGTGTGGACTAGTGCAGCCATTTCAGAAGTGATTTATTTGTCAGTTCTTCTTCCAATCAAGTATAGGTGTAAGCTATGACCTAGGAATGTCACTCCTAGGTATATATACCAGAGATAGTCTTACATTGATCCTTAGGGAAACATGAGAAAGCAGCTCCTCACAGCATCATGTATAAAAAAGGGAGTTGAAGGCAGTCTAACTGCCCATTGCCAGAGGAATAGGTAAGCAAAATGTAGATGCACACGGTGGGGGGTGATGGAGCAGAGGTTGGCATCCATGACGCAGATGTATGCACTTCAACATAGTTAAATTGTAAAAACAATGGTGAATGAGGGGGACGGGGTGGAGGAATAAGACACAGAATGAGGTCCATCACCCAATATATGTAAATCATGTCTTTTATGTAAATGTGAAATGAATACACACAGAAAAGGATACAAAAAAGTCAAGGATATCGAACACTCTAGAACAGTTGGGGGATGAGACTGGAGAATGGTGATTAAAGAGAAAAAAAACATGCACTCAGACAAAAAAGTATATAAGAGAAGTGTCTTGCAAAATGCAGGTAATAAAAGATCTATGCATCCTAATTCTATCAAGTTATTGCCTGTGTGACGTTGAGTAAGTCATTTCACCTTTTTGATACTTGCTTTTCTTGTCTGGACGATGAAGGACATGGACCTTCACAACCTGTATCATGAAGAAGACCCCTACAGAGGAAGTCAGTGTAGAATAGGAAGTGCAAGGAGCCAGACAGACCCAGCCGTGCACTGTCTGGCCTTGAGGAGTCACTTCACTTTCTAAGCTTCTGTTTTTAATGAGGTGGTCAAGACCTCACTGAGAAGGGGACATTTGAATAAAGCCTTGAAGGAGTCAAGGAAATAAGCCATACAGATATGGGGGGAGGAGGGGGCGGCGGGGGGGAAGTCGTTCAGACCGAGGGAAGAGTCAGTTCTGTCCACAGGTAATGACGTGAAGTTCCCCTCACGGTGCCTGGGACACAATAAGCAGTCGGTGTTCACCCCTTTCCCTCCTCTTACAGAGATGTCAGGATCAGCGTGGCTACTTAATGCGCCTTCTAGCTTCGGCGACAATGACATTCTAGCCTCAAAAGGTTTCGAAACACTGCATCCACGTACTCTACCCACCTGTAGGAGTGCCCTTCCTGAGTGACCACAGAAGCCTCACCCTGGAAGGAAGTCATTGCTGCTGGGACTTCAGCCTGCATGGGGAGCACAAGAGCCCCCAACTCAAGCAGGAAGCTGGAAACAGTGAGGCAGGGCCCCTCGCCAGCTGCTATTGTCCTCGAGAGACTCCTATCCCAGCACACACCAACACTAGGACAGGGCCTAGGGGGGCTTGAGCAAGAGAGCAATCACCTGGGGAGAGGAGCAAAGGGAAGGGACCCATATTTACTAAGGCAGATCTGAGTCCCATATTCCCCGTAGTAAGATAAAGGGATTGGACCTACCCTGTGTTTTGGTTTTTTTGATTCTGCCACTTTCCAGCTCTTTTATCTTTACAAGTCACAGAACATGTCAGAGCCTCCATTTCCCCATCTGTAAAATGGTATGAAAATTTCAGTTCTGTACAGTGGTTGTGAGGACTCATGAGGTAAGATTTGTGAAAGTGGCAAGCAACTATCTGGGGCTCGACACAAAGTAGTTCCCTTTCCTCTGTACCACGTACGTGGGAGGCAGCCACTGTCAGATTCAGTCGGCTCGGGTCCTTATTTATTTTATCTTTTTCTACAGGGATGGAATCACCTACCTTTCATGTAGAATCTGAGGCAGCAAATGAAAACTGTGCTTAGCATAGTTACTGGACCAAAATGGTGCTCCATAGATGTTTGTTGGATACCTGGATGGATGCATGCATGCACGCACGGATAGATGGATGGGTAGATGGAAGCACAGACTGATGGATGGATGACTGGGTAGGTGGAAGGGTGGCTTCCTGGCAGAATGTCAGGGGAAGCATAATTTGTATTACAGAAATACAAGTCTGCACGCACACAAAAACAGTTATTTTATAAGAGGGTTTTATTATACCTTTTTTAGCCTTAGGTCTCAAGCACAGATATAACATAGATGAGTAAAAACTGGCATAAACATGCCCAGTTCTAGTCAACTGTGACCTACAGTTATCATTCTATAGTCTATGACTCATCTCAAGGGACCAGGTCTTGCCTGCGCAGCATTCTCTAACTGAGATCACTGGAAGTTCCCGGAGGTGAAAGTTGAAATCAGGGGGAGATACAGGATAAGGCCTTCTTAACGTATAAGATGACTTGGAATTCCTGACTGGTGATGCTTCTTCGAAAGAATTACAAATCAACTTTTCCTATAATCCCTGTCACCATTGCAAGAAGTGAGAGACACAGATCAGCAGCCAATTCTATATTCCCTGCAGTTCCATGCTGTGTAATTTCTGCAATCACTTGGTCCCTCTGAGTCCCCTATTCCCCTAGTAAGATCAAGGGATTGATTGGACCCACCCTGTTCCAAAATGTTCTGATCCTCTGAAAATCACTGACATCGTCCCTTAAGTATGAACCTAGAACTTTGGAAGGATATGTATTATTAAATTCCTTCTCCACCTCTCCTTGAAGAGTCTGTTAAACCCTTTCAAACTAAGTGCATGTAAACGCAATATGTCTGTTTATGCTATACTCTGGAAAACCAGTAAGCTTTGGAGACAGACTGATCTCAATCCCAGGCCTTCTGTGAGAAACTGTAGATACACTGATGAACAAGATTCAGTTCCTGCCCCAGGAAGGGGAAGGTGGACATTCAAATGGATAAACTTATAGGAATTAAGGCATAAAAAAGTTAGACCCTTCAGCCCTAAAGTGCTGTTAGAAGAAAGCCAATGACCCTGCCTAGAGGCCTCAGGGAAGGTTGCCTATCAGAAGTGTTCTGGGCTAGGTCAAAAAGAAGAGAGAGCATCTGAGGTCACAACCAAGCAGAAGTCACGGGGGAAGTAAACATGGCTATATGCAGAGTGGTGAGGAGATCAGCAGGGCTGTAGCATGGGCTACAACTAAAATATTCTTCCATGGGCCTTGGGTATGAGTGGGATCTGTCCAGGCAACATTCTGGGAGAAGCAAGGGGGTGATGAGAAGTTACCATCTCAGGACTGTGAGACTTTTTTTTTTTTATGGTAGCAGCATGGTTTCTTAAGCTGTGCCTTAGTACTGGCTCTGGGGCTGGCCCATGGTGCTGTTGATGTGCAAAGCCCGGACTTTCTACCAGTTCTTTTTCAGCAATGACACCAAGAAATTGACAGCTAAATGGATGTTGTACGCAAACTCATCATCTGTCATCTTCACATGGCCGACAGCCACCGCCAGACACAGCACCTTCGTCATCTGAAACTTGATTGTGGCTTTCACTTCATCAACCTTGACCACCACGTTCTCATTGTGGGTCAAGAGGAAGAGAACTTGCTAGCCTTATGCAGGCCTGGGCCCAGGATTCGTAGATCTGCTTGGTCAGAGGAGACTCTGAAGCCAAAAAGGCATCATACTTCTTGGCCAGCTCCTTGACTAGGTTCTTACTCTTGTTGAGTTTCTTCAGTGCCTCGCTGTTCATGCGGGGGATATCCACGGCCTTGACCTCATTGCAGTGCTGCTGGTCCTCCAAGGAACATGTGGAGAACTTGGGGCAGGGAGTGGACTTCAGCCTGGCAGTGCCCAAGTTTGTCCTCCGGAGGCTCACAGTTCTTCAAGCTGACCTGCAGCTCCACTGTCTCCAAAAACTTCCATCGCTTGCGCTGGTTCCCGTGCAGAACTTCCCACACCGCCTTGTACAGGGTGTCTCAGGAAACTTTGTTGTTTGTGATTCCTCGCACCGCAAAAACCGGAAAAGAGCTCAGACTTACTCTGTATTGAGCACTCAGTGAATGCCGACACCATGCACTTGACACGCATCACGGCAGTGTTTCCCAATGTGTATTATGCAAGTCCCTGGGGAGTATGAGGTGACTTTAGACAGGATACCAAGAACATTTTTATTTTAAGAGTTATGCTTTCAGTTTACATTTATTTTCTATGGATGGCAGGCGGCATTAGTTTTTTGTTCACAATCTATAATAATAAAAGGGTAATATGCAAGTCGACCGAACAGCAGAATGACCGTCCGGACGACCTTCCGGACGACCATGCTATGACACACACTGGCCCCAGGCCAGCCAAGGCAGGTGCTATGTGATTGGTCGGAGGGCCCCACCATTGCCCCATAATTGCCCCACAGATCAATGGGGAGGGGGCTCCACATTGCCCCAAAGAGGGAGGCCCAGGCCAATGACCAGCAATGCTGTGGCAGGTGTGCAGGGCCAGCCAGCAATTGCCCTGCAGAGGAAGGCCCAGGCCAGCCAAGTGATCACACCCCACACCTGTCACCTGCAGAGGGAGGCGACCAGTGGTGGGGGAGGGGAGGACAGCACCACACAGATGGCAAGCTGTGACAGGGGTGGGGGCAGGGCCAGCTGCAGGCAGCCAGGGGAAGGAAAGCCCTGATAGGCCCTGTTTCCAGCCAGGGCTAGGGACCCTACCCAAGAGGAACCGGATTGTGAGAGGATGCAGGCTTGGCTGAGGGACACACACACACACACACACACACACACACCCCTCCGGTGCACAAAATTCATGCACCGGGCCTCTAGTTTAGTTATAAAACATAACTTTTTTACAATTTAAGTTTTTAAAAAGTGACCCAATTTAAAGAAAAATATTTATTGAGTAAATATATAGCTGGTACATAGACACTGTAAAAACTTCAAGGGGGTGGGGGGTACATAAATCACTGAAATTCAAGAAACACTGTTTTAGCATGTAAGCATTTATCTCGTTCGGAGCTCATTTAGTTGCAAGTAATCAGTGACTCAAATCAGCTCAAGCAAGATAAGGGAAGATTTCCTCACAAGGAACTCTCACAGGCCCCAAAGAAAAAAGTGCAGTTGTGCCTCAAGAAGGGCGTGGCCTGGAGGAGAGCGGCAGGCCCCTGGAAGCACCACCCGCTCCTCTCTCCAGGTTCCGGGGCCCTCTGTCTCTGCTTTGCTCTGCACATCTCCAGCTTCCCTCTAAACAGAGCCATTTTCTCTAGTACACGCATGTCAGTGGCCGTCTCCGCCACCCTCTCAACCCCAGCACATACACACAGACAGACACACACATGTAGACGCGCACACACTCACAGCTCCAGGGTTTCTATATCTTCAGGTGAGTGACTTGCAGAGCCTGAAATAGCATCCCTGACTCTTGCTACTTATTCCTGAGAGAGCTGTGGTACTCAGCTCAGGGTGCAAGAGGAGGCTCATTTGAATTCCTGACCGGCCCAGCTAGAGCCAGATGTTCACCTCTCATCCATTCAACTCCTATAGGAGGACGGAGGGGAACAAATTCTCAGAAAAAGAGAGAAACTTGGATGAGAAGGCACCCTGACCGAGTGGTGTCTGACTCAGCAACTTACTTCGCTGCTCAGAACAACCCTATGAGGTAGGAAATTCAGCTCAAAGTTCTCAGCAGGAAGTGACAAAGCCAAGAGTGGAAACTGGGTCTCTGTGACACCAAAGCTCCAGTAAGCCGCACTACCTGGTCACCATCAGGTAAGGCCGGCCCACAGCTACGACTGCAGACCCAAGCGCGTTACTGGCCCATTGGGAGGCAGTTATAAAAATCATCCATCCAGCGCTTGCCCAGTAGACAGAAATCAAGGATCCCAACTGTATGGGGACACTGTCTGGGAGGGAAGAAGATCTCCTTAAAGGCCCATAAGGCCCTGGAAGCCAGAGAGGGCTCCTCTGAGCCCTGGGTCTGAGGCTGCCTGATTCAGACTGTGGTAGTCAGCTCAGGGTGCAAGAGGCGGCTCATCTGAATATATTTGCTGAAAATCACAAGCAGGCATCTAGAGATCGTCGAGAAGTGGACACTTCTCTTCTGCACCCAGAACTCACAGTGCCTGCTGGCCCTAGAAACCATAACTGCTCCTCCCACCTCCTAGGAGCTAAATTAGGAGGGGGTTCCCTAGAAAAAGAGGCAGGGGGGAGACCAGCCTAGGCTCCCACTCCTATGGAATCCCCTGGGCATCATGGTGCCCTGGATGATCAGAGTTTCGCCCCGAGGGGCCTTTGCTGCCCGACAGGAGGTACTTTATCAAGGTCTCTGCACAGACAGATGGATACGGCGATTGTGTCTCTCCCCCAGAGCTGAGCCAGGCCTGACACGAGGTCCATGCAGGGTGACACCTCTGCCTCAGGACACAAGCCCCCCATCCTAGCGTTTGGTCTATGCACGTGTTATCTTCTCTGGTCGCCATTCGGGTGTTGGGTGAGTTGGGAGAAGTTTCCACTGAGCCACCCTAAGAAGTGTCACAAAGGCCTTGTGCCTGTGGGTGGAGACAGGGTGGCATCATCCTAGCTCAAAAGTCTGCCCCAAAGGTACTGCCATGTTGCCAAGGGAGTGTCCCTTTCCCCAAACCCCCTTCTCTGCCTTTACAGTGATGAAGGGAGTGGTTGCTCCAAAGTTTAAGTCATATGCACTTGGGGTGCTGCCCTAGCAGGGTGCACTGGGTGGCTCAAAGTCTGTCCCCAAGGTCTGCCCCTGGCTAAAACCACCAGCCAAGTTTCCTATGGCAGATGTCCAAAGGGGGCTCAAGGGGCTCGTTCAGGTTTGGGATTTCTAGCAGTCTGGCTCTTCCATCATCCCCACCTTATGGAGGTAGCCTCCATATCTCATGGGCCCCGAGCACCCAGGAAAGATGTGCCCAGACCACAGCAAATACCTCTTCTTCCCCCAAGTCAGTCATGATGTCCATGCCTCTGGGCCTGGCCCCATCAGGCAGAGGCTAATTTTTGAGGGAATTGGCAGGCACGTGGTTGAGCGGCAAGACCACTTCGGTGCCCGTGTCCATGGTGGTCAGGGGGCATTTCCGACTGCTGCGCATGCTCTGGAACTTCTCGGTAAGGTGCTTGCGGAACTTCTTGGTGAGGAAACAGTAGATGACGGGGTCTAAGACACAGTTGGTGCTAAGGAGGCAGAGGGTGACCTGATGTGCATCGTTAATAGCCTGGTGGAAGTCGCTGTTCTGGAAGCCCAGCTCGGCCAGGGTCCAGGGCAGCTGTACAACATGGTGAGGCACAAAGCAGATGATGAACACCGCCAGGACCGTGCAGACCATCCACAGCGCCCGGCGCTTGACTTCCACGTTGCGCTGCAGCTGCACGGGCTGCAGGAGCAGCGTGCGGATGATGATCAGGTTGCAGAAGAAGATGATGAGGAAGACAAGGAAGAAGGCAAACACGAGAAAGATGTGAATGATGAGGACGGGTTTGCTGCCTTTCTCATAATGTTCAAAGCAGCGAGTGACGTTGCCGGAGCCGGTCTTGTTGGGCACCACGTTGGTGGAGTCCAGGACAAAGAAGTAGGACGCAGCGGCCACAATAGACACCCAGATGATCAGGGACAACAAGATGCCGCGCGTCCGGGTAGTAGCCTGAGCGGTCTTGATGGGCCGCGTCACGGCCTGGAAGCGGTTGTACGTGATGACAGCCAGGAAAGCCACCGAGCAGTAGGTGTTGATGAAGAAGAAGCAGCCGGCCACGTTGCACAGGAACGGAGGGAGAATCCAGTTGCCCTGGTGGTAGTAGTAGGTGATCCACAGGGGCAGGGTGACCAAGAAGAGCAGGTCGGCCATGGTGAGGTTCACCATGAAGATCTTGATCTCGTTGAGTTTCTTGGAAGGGTACAGGCGGGCAAAGACCCACAGCACGTAGCTATTGGCGATGACCCCCACCACAAAGATGACACTGTAAAAAATCGGGAAGAGGGTATACCGGAACTCGGAGTCCACGCGAGAATCATTCGTCTCCATTGCTCGGGGCTAGAAAAGGCAGCTGGCCACCGTGTCCTGCTTGTGCCTGGAAGACCATACAGGGATTCTGGTTAATGAAGGGCCAACAGGGGACGATCTTATTTCATCTATTCTAAGACTCCCTTTTTGCACATTAAAAAAAAAAATCAATGGCATCTTCCAATTAATAGCCAGCATTTATTTTCTTTCTACATAAAATAATTTTCCAAGGGACTACATCTGAGATTCCATGAAATCAATAGCAGCTGTTTCAGCAGTGGAAACACTTGAAGAAGCCTATAGATCAGTGGTTCTCAACCTTCCTAATGCCGCGACCCTTTAATACAGTTCCTCATGTTGTGGTGACCCCCAACCAAAAAATTATTTTCGTTGCTACTTCATAACTGTAATTTTGTTACTGTTATGAATCGTAATGTAAATATCTGATATGCAGGATGTATTTTCATTGTTACAAATTGAACATAATTAAAGCACAGTGATTAATCACAAAAACAATATGTAATAATATATGTGTTTTCCGATGGTCTTAGGCGACCCCTGTGAAAGGGTCGTTCGACCCCCAAAGGGGTCTCGACCCACAGGTTGAGAACCGCTGCTATAGATACTTAAACAGGCGAGTTTTACGAAACAACTGGTTCTAACTGGAATTTTGTTGATTGAGAAAAAATTTTGTGCTTTGCTCTATTTACTGTGGTGGTGGTTTATCTATGTTAAGTTAAATAAATGTAGCTTCCATTATTCCAATAAATCATTGTGGTTCCTTTAAAAAAAAAAAAAAACTCACCCGCGAGTCATACTGTGAGTTACATAGTTGATTTGAATTACATAGTTTTGTGCCATTGGACCTTTCCCACTGCTAGCTGGAGCTCCACCATTTGATCCCTAAGCCCTAGGATAATGGCTCCACAGAGATGAGGAGGAGAGAGGAACATCTTGGAGACCTTTTAGGGGATCCATGAGGTCAAAACTATTGTCATACTAATACCAAGATGCCCTGGCTGGTTTGGCTCAGTGGCTAGAGCGTCAGCCTGCAGACTGAAGGGCTGTGGGTTCGATTCTGGGAAAGGGCACTGTCCGGGTTGCGGGCCTAGTCCCCAGTGGGGGGCATGCAGGAGGCGGCTGATTAATGATTCTGTCTCATCATTGATGTTTCTATCTCTCCCTTTCCCTTCCTCTCTGAAATCAATAAAAATATATTTTACAAAATACCAAGACATTATTTGGCACTGTGTTGACATTTGCGTTGATGTTGCAAAACTGCTGGATCCTTAGAATAAATCAAGGCAGTAGCACCAAACTGTAGTAGCAGCCAAATTCTTTACAGCCATGTACTCAAGAGTTAAAAAAAAGAAAAGAAAAAGAAAGCCAGTTTCATTCTAAGTCACTTTAAAATGCCCTTGGTATAAAGCAAGGATATGATTAACTTTATTAAATCTTGAGTATACATCTTTTTTAATATTCCATGTCAAAATGGGAAATCCACATGAAACACTTCTGCTGCAAACTGAAATAAATTGGTTGTCTTCAGGGAAAGCATTTATGTGATTGTTGGAGTTGTGAGCTGAACTTTTCTGAGGATCATCATTATCACTTGAAAAAATGGCAAACTATGGCCTGGCTGGTGTGGCTCAGTGGTTGAGTGTCAACCCATGAACCACGAGGTCGCTGGTTCAATTCCCCATTAGAGCACATGCCTAGGTTTGGGGCTCGATCCCCAGGAGGGGGCATTCAGGAGCCAGCCGATCGATGATTCTCTCTCATCATTGATGTTTCTATCTCTCTCCCTCACCCTTCCTCTCTCTCTCTCTAAAGCTTAATAAAAACATATTTTTAAAATTATTTTATTTTCAAATTAAGTTTTTCAGATGAGTATCTAGCAGACGTTTTCTCAGATATGAATAAATAAACCTGTCACTTCAAGGGAAATAAACAGTATTTATGGACAATGATAAAATTCAAACTTTCAAAGGAAATTAGAATTTTGGGGGGAAACTGTATCTCCAGCTTTCCAATACTTAAAGAATTTTCTGATGAGATTGGTGGTGATATTAATGAATGCAACTTTTAAAATATCTTATAATGAAACAGCAATATTTGGAAGACCTGCATAACTCATTGAACAGATATTTTCCAAATAAGGAAGACATGATATTTCAAAATTATGCCTAGGCAGAAAATTCAAAGAATAAGATAAACCAATACCTCACAGGGTAACAAATTACAAAAAGCTTGTTGATCTGATCCAGGTTCCACCGTGCAGCTAACCTTTAAGAAACTACCATTTGTGGAAAAAATAGTGTCACCAATTATCTGAAAATGACATTAAAATATCCCTCCTTTTACAGATACCTATTTGTGTGAGGCCAGATTTTCAAAATGACATATCACCTCAGATTGAATGCAGAAGCAGTTATGAGAATCCAGCTGTCTTCTATCAAACCCAAGATCAAAGTGATTTGCAAAAAATATATAAATAAATTCCACTCTTCTTCCTAAAATGTTTATTTTGAAATTTTAGTTATTTTTTACTCAAAACGTTATGTGTGTTAACACGCAATGAGTTTGTTATTGGTTTTTATATTTAAAAGCAACAATTTTTATTTATACTGTCTTAGTTTTAATTTTTTAAATGGTAAACAATGATAGATATAATCCATGTAAACAAAAGCACTCCGGGGCCCTCAAAACATTTTCGCGATATAAAAAGATCCTGAGACCAGAAGATTTGAAAATTGTTGCTCCATAACCTCAGGTTCCCCACTCTCTCCCGTGGGCCCAAGATGCCCGTTCATCTGCGACTGGCCTTGTTTCTTTCCCCTGTTGGGCCCCCATGCCTTGGGGGACCGTGTTGCTGGGGTCTGAGAGAGGTGAGGAGGCGGCCCATAGCTGGGGATGCGTGTTGCTCCTCACTCTGGGTCTTTGAGGAAGTCACATCCCTACCTACCCCTCACACCCACACCCAGCTCCACCCCTAAGTTAGTTCCTTCCTGTCTTGGGGTTTAGGCTCCAGCTCAATGGGGTGGAGGCTGCTCTCCTCCAGAAACTGTCCCTCTCCGGCCAGAGGACCATGGCAGAGCGGAGGGAGGGAAAGTGATGGTTGTGAGAGTTATCTGGGAGATTGAAAGGACAGAACTAGGTGAGGTGAGATACTGGTTGCTAGAAAGGGAGGAGTGAAGGACTGCCAGGTTTCTGGCCCAGAGATTGGAGGTGGGGTGCTGTCTATCTTCATGGACACGAGACCGAGGAGGAACAGCATGTGGGTGGGGAGGGTGAACTCGGTTGAGGACATATCACATTTGCGGTGCCTGCAACACAGCCAGGCGGATCCAAGGTTGAGCCCCGAAGAGAACACCATTGAAGGATACGCCAGAGGAGGAGGAGAAACTTCGGAGGGGGGCAAGGACAGGATGGCCAGAGAGGTGGGAAGAGAACAGCGGAGTGCCTTCCTGGAGACCTAATGAAGGAGGTTTCAAGAACGGGAGAGCCAGTGGCCAGCGGCGTGAAAAGTCACAGGGCAATCAAACACAATGCAGACAGAAAAGCAAATATTGGATATGGCAACACGGAAATCTCTCTCGCGTGATTGGAGGGAGGGCAGTTTCCTAAGATGAGTTGAAGAGTGAATGAGAAGCAAGGAAGTGGAACGTCAAATTCTCATTCAAGAAGCTTAATAAGTTGAAAGAAGTAGAAAGATAAATAAATACACTTTCAAATTGTGATGAATTCAATAAAAGAAATAAAAGCAGTAACATAATGAAGCCAGATTAGAGGGCTGCTTTAAGTAAAGTGACCAGGGAAGGCTTCTCAGAGGAGGTGACAATAAACAAAACCAGAGGCCTGTTTGCCATGAAGCCAATGAAGCTTGACCTTCAGGGCCCCCTCCTCGGCCTTGTACCTAATTGTGTATTTGTAATTTAATATCGTTCCTTCAAAGAAGGGCCCCAAAGGTGTATAAAAATTATGGTCCTGCAAAACCTGTATCTTCCTCTGGCTGAAATCTAAAAAGTGAAAAGAAACTAGTCAAGAGAAATTATTTAAGTCCATCATATTCTGAGAGAGGAATAAATTTGTCATGTTCAAGGGACAGAAAGGTCAGTGCGGCCTGCAGGTGTGAGAACTGGGAAGCGTGGGCTGCGATCAGAGAGGAACAGCCCTGCATCCCCGTGATGAGGAGTTCAGACTGTATTCCTTTAGCATCACAGAGACACTGGAGCATGTCAAGCAGGTGAGAAGCATGACCGGACTCGCTCTGGACGTTGGGCAGAGAATAGATGGTAGGGAGCAAGAATGGAAGCAAAGAGACCATTTTGGAGGCAAGAGATGGTGGTGACAGGGACCAGAAAGTGGCATTTCCAAGTTTTCTCTGTATCCCCAGCATCTAGCACAAGATTAGCCAGAGCAGGAGCTGGGTACACATTTGTCAAGTGAACAAATCTCTAACAACTGACAAGACTGGCCTCTTTGTGAGGACGGTGAGAGGGGTCACCCAAGAAGATAGTAGAGGCCTCATCTACTCAGGGGCATAGAGCACCAGTGGCAGCCTCCTCACAAGGCAGAGGATGCCCTCCACCACCTCCCTACTCAGACTGTGGCCCTGGAGCCAGAGCACCAGCATCAGCTGTGAGTTTGTTAGGCACGCAGAAGCTCAGCTCCACCCGAGACCTGCTGTTTCAAGCTGTCTTTTAACAAGATTCATGCGATCTTGATTCATGAGCACCCTGGAGTTCGAGAAATGCTGTGCCCAGCACACTGCCAGCCACATACCTGTCTGACCTAACACCTTCCATGGCGCCCCTCTGTCCAGGATCACGCTCCTGTCCAAACTCATCTCCCACCAGCCTCTACTGCTACTCGCCCTCTACTCCAGCCACACGGAACTTCCTGCTGCTGCTCTGAAAACTCCATTTCTCTTCAAACCTCTGTCTTTGCACATGCTGTGGGCCCTACTGAGCCTGCCTTTTGCCTGTTATTCTACCTCGCAAAATCTTACTCAGGAAGACCTAAGCTAAAGACTGCTTTCTCCGGGATGCCTTCCCGGTTTGCCCCAGGTAGGAGTTGCCTTCTTCTCTCTGAGTCACCATGATACTGGGCACATTCTTCGATATAGAACCTGACACATACCAGGTAGCTGTACGTATTGATTTCTGTGGCCCTTTTACTCACCATGCTGGGAACTTCTTGAGAGCAGAGATTAGATTTTCATCTCTTTGTCCCCAATGTCAGACAATGGGGACTGAATAGCCAAGCCCCAGGTGACTCTTCAGAGGAAACGGGCACGAAGGAAAGGTACCCAGCCTCTCGGGAAGGCATAGCAGGTGGGGAGAACAAGGCCCCTGGAGTTAGAAAGGCCTGGGTTCATCCCTGGCTCTGCCGTTTACTTGCTGTGTGACTGTGGACAAGCGTACTCACTTCTCTGAGCCTGTTTCTTCGTTTGCAAAAGCTTGCAATCCTTACAGTACTTCCAAAAATAAGCTTGTAAAGTGGCCACAAATGGCCAGGCTGTCCTCCACTCCCCATTGGCCCAGCTCCCCACTGGAGCCCGGGGAGGGACTGTGGGTACCACTGACTTCCGGAGCTCTAACTCACCACTGACTTTCCTGCCAGCTCCAGCAAGGCTTTAGACGAACGCCAACAAAGCTATCAACAGTTCAACTTAACATGCAGGCACAGTCCCCTGAGGATCAAGGCTGGGCAGCAGGCCCAGGCCCAGCACTCAGCTGTGAGTGGGCTAAGAGGGCCATAAAAATTCACGGAGATAAGAATCCTGCCATCTGGATGTCCCACCCTCTGCCCTGCAGAACATTTAGCCCCAACCACACGCTGCCTACCACTCCCATCCTGCCTACTATTCCCAGTCCCTGGGACCTGAGAAAGCGGGACAATCAGAGGGGAGGGACGGCCAGGATCTCAGCAGAAGCTATGTGCTGGTTACTTCCCCAGTGCGGACTGTGGGTTGGGAAGTTGGGTTTACCAGTCAGTCTGGCCCCTGACATTTGTGGTGTCATATGTGGTCAAGAGCACACATGTTTAAATATTTACAAGCTATTACACTGGCCGGCGTGGCTCAGTTGGTTGGAGCATTGTCCTGTGCACCAAAAGGTGGCAGGGTCCATTCCCGGTCAGGGCACATACCCACGTTGCAGGTTCAATCCCTGGTCAGGGCACTGCGGGAGGCAACCGGTCAACGTTTCTCTCTCACGTGAATATATCTCCCTCTCGCTCTTTCTCTCTCACAAATATATATTTTTTCTTACATACCTACAAAATTGATTAGGTCTAAAAAAAAAACACACACTTAAAAATAAATACGTATTTACAAGCTATAAATCAGTCACGTCCAAGTTCATGCACATCCCATGCACCAGCAGCTCCTGGCAATCCAGCAAGCTGTAGGTGCATGCACCAGTAAGAGTGTGGGCGAGAAGGGGTGCGGGCGAGAAGGGGTGCGGGCAGGACACAGGCTCCAAGTGGTCAGTCCCACGTGGATCTAAGGACTCCTTGCTCTGTAGGGAGGGCTTGACTGTAGGGGAGCCAGAGCCAACCCACCTAAACTCGGGGCGCTGGGCATGAGTTTCCAATTAAATGGGTAGATGCTCTTACCCATGATCACATTTCCTCCTCCAACCGGCCTTGGGAGGTAAGCATTACAAAATGCCCACGTTTCCGGGGAAGAAAGCGAAGTCAGACAAAGGTAACACACTTGTCCCCAGCCAGACAGCTGGGCGGTAGCAGGTGGGATTTTGAAGCCCAAGGCCCATCCTCGCTCTCCTAGGCCAAGCTGTAGCAAACCACTCCTTGGCCAACTCGGCCTCTCACGGGCCTGAGGACGGGAATCTTGGATGCCGTGCGGCCCCAGAAAGAGATGTCTTTGACCAGGGGCCTTGCTTTCACCTTTCCTCCCCAAATTCAGAAACTGCATGGGGCAAAGGGAGGGGAGGGACTGCTGCATCCACCTCACTGCGGCCGGGAATTGCTGGCGTGGGAATCAAATCCTGGTTCAAACACTAAACTCACCCCATGACTCTGAGTCTCTGTTTTCTCGTTAGTAAACGGAAGACTTTTAAATGGGTCTAAAAGGAAATTATGAAAACAATCCCATTTACAATAGCATCATAAAGAATAAAACACTCAGGAATAAACTTAACCAAGGAGGCAAAGACTTGCACACAGGAAATCACAGGACATTGATGAAAGGAGTTAAAGAAGACACGAATAAATGGAAAGACATGCGGTGTTCGTGGATTGGGAGACTTACTATTATTAAAATGTCCACGCTACCAAAAGCTATTTACAGATTCAATGCCCTATAAAAATACCAATAGCAGTTTTCGCAGAAATAGAAAAAAAATTTACAAAATTCATGTGAAATCTTATCTCAAACACCCTGAACAGCCAAAACAATCTTAAGAAAGAAAAGCTGGGGGTCTCACACTTCCTGATTTCAAAATATACTACAAAGTGCAATAATCGGAACAGTATGGTATTGACATAAAGACAGACATACAGATCAATTTCTAGATAGACATATAGGGAAAAAAAAACACCTCACATATATAGTCGAATGATCTTTGATAAGGTTGCCAAGACTACACAACGGGGGAAAGATAGTCTATTCAACAAATGGTGATGGGGAGAGTGGATATTCACACGCCAAAAAGGGAAGATGAACCCTTATCATACACCGTATACAAAAATGAACTCAAAATGGATTAAAGACCTAAACGTAAGACCTGAAACTATAAAACTCATAGAAGGAAATGTGTAAATCTTAATGATATTGGAATGGGCAATGATTACTTAGGTATGACATAAAAAGTACAAGAAATAAAAGCAAAAATAGACATATGGGACTACACCAAACTTAAGGAAACAATCAACAGGGTAAAAAAGGCAAACTAAAAGTACATAATGGAAGAAAATATTTGCAAGCCATATGTTGGAGAAGAAGTTAATATCCAGGATATAAAAAAAAACTCTTACAACTTGATAGCAATAAATACATAATTTAAAAATAGCCAAAGAATGGGAATAGACATTACTCCAAAGACATACAAATGGCCAACAGGTATATAAAAAGATGCTCAACCATCACGAATCAACTGGGAAATGCAAATCAAAGCCACAACGACACATCTATCACCTCACACCCAGTAGGATGACCACTATCAACAAAGGCAGGTATTGGTGAGGATGTGGATGAACTGGAACATTTGTGCACTATTGGTGGAAAGACAAATAATGCAGCGATGATGGAAAACAGTCTAGAGGTTCCTCAAAAAAAATTGAAAAAGGAACTATCAGATGATCCAGAAATCTCACTTTGGGGTGTATATCCAAAAGAAAAGAAAACGGGATCTTGGAGATATATTTGCACACACGTGTTCATAGCAGCATATTCACAATAGCCAAGAGGTGCAAGCGACCCAGATGTCCATCAGCAGATGAATGGGTGAACAAATATGGCACATATGCACGACGGAACGCTCCGCGGCCTTTAACGGGAAGGAAATCCTGTGGCGTGGTACAATAATCCTGAAGATATTATGAAGTAAAATAAGCCAATTACAAAAAGACAAATACTGAATGATCACACTTAGATGAGGTATCTAAAGTGATCAAACTTATAGAAACAGAAAGTAAAATGGTGGTTGCCGGGTGCTGGGAAAGGGAGAAACAGGGAGCTGTTGTTCAATGGGTACAGAGTTCCAGGCGTGCAAGGTGAAAGTGT